GTAAAACTATACTTGGAAAGAAATAGGAGTATTTAAAACATATCGGTGGCACACTCATCACGAAGGCTCTGGCTGCCGGTTGCTGCACATAATTTCAAAATACTTATTCTTTATTAATAATAATAATAATAATAATAATAATAAATTAATTAAATTAAATTAAATTAAATTAAAAATAAAAATATATTTCAATTTTATTTGTTGTATGCTAATTGGTAATGTTTGTATAATGCTCACGAAAATCTAGTGTTTGAATTTATGAAAGTATATGTGTTGGCATCTTATTATCTTTCTATAAAGATTTCTTGTTTCACTTATTTTTTTTCTTGGCTTTTTCCCTTTATATTGTAGGATATATTTTACCATTTTCTATAGACAGCATAAAATGTTGTTACTAAAAATCCCTAGGACTTTGATTAATTATGATTTGTTCTACTTTAAACTCATTTTTAATGAGTTGTTCTACTTTAAACTCCTTTTTAATGAGTTGTTCTACTTTGAATCTAGAATTATTGGATCGGGACCCGAGATTCTATTATTATGTCCATTAAATATCTTGATTTTTGCTATCTAGGATTTATGGGGATAGGTCATAATTTTGGACGAGATTTTAAAAAAGACACCACTTAAGAAGAAGATTGTGTTGAGAACGAACTATTAGATCGATTGCATAATAAGATCATTTATTTGGACACCATATTTTGTTATCGTTATTGTTTTTACTAGAATGTATAGATTGACAAGAGTGTATGAGATCGAATAGTGAAGATCGGCTCTTGAATTGAACGAAGGGAATCTCCTTCGAAAAGAGTAAAGGTTCACACACAAAAATCATTTTGATGTTCAGGTTAACTTTTACGCAAAAAAGTTGTGATTAAAGAATGAATGATAGGATGAAATTTACTCCTTAATTAGATCTCCTTATATAGAACCTAGAACGTATGTCGTTGTTGGTTTTTGGTAAGCATACCAATATTATTAATCACAGTACAATATTTCAATTAAATAAAAGTCGATCCCACGAGGAACGGTGTCACTGGAAATTTCGAATCATCATAAGCTTACTAAGTATATTAACGCAAAATGAGTTTTTCTTAAACTGTGGAATTGAAAACAAATGGTAAAAAACTATCAAATATATTTAGAAAAGATGAATTATGAGAACTTAAGATTGATTTTCTTCTTTTTCCCTCCTTTGTATAATGGTTAAGTCAAATTAAGAACATCAATTAACCTATCAATGTTGATGTCACCTACTCAAATCATTCACATTGATTCCTCAAACATGAAATTCATAAGAAAACCTTGTAAACATATATTCCTCATACATTTAATAGATTTTCCAGCATTAGGTTTAGGGTGTTAAGCAATTGAAACATCTATTATCATTCCTAGCAATCAACGTATCAAATATTCTTAACCTAATCAAGGGTTTCAAGATATATTTTCCAATATATATGAACATCCAGGATAGAAGCATTAACAGGAACAAAGGATAAGAATAACAACATCAAGAATATAGATTAATATCCCAAAAGATCACCAAGATACAAAAGAGTTTAAGAGAAGTGCATCCAATCCTAAGAAAATGAAGTTAGTCATGATGGTCATTACAATGATCCAAATGAAGAAGAATTAAAGAAGAATTGAAGATTGGACGAAAACTCAATCAGTTGTCATACCTTTCTTCTCTAAAACCCTCCCAAAACTCCTTTCTCAAAATGTATTTTATCTATTTATAGAAAAATTTTACGTCATTCACTCAAGCGGAACTTTCGCTCAAGCGAGTAATGGTGATTTTCGCTCAAGCGAGAATTGTCCGCTTGAGCGATTAAATTCCGAGAGCTTTAATGTATTTTCGCTCAAGGGAACGTCTATTTCGCTCGAACAAATGACTTTCAGAGAGTTTTAAAGTATTTTCGCTCAAACGAGCGTGTACCTCGCTTGAACTAATCTTAGGCTAAAAATCTTTTTTCCTTTTTCCAATTTTTCTTTAATTAACTTGAAAATTATGATATTTGCTCCTGTACCCAGGTATTCTTTAAATTCATCCTATGTTGGGAGAATAATAGATTAAAATCAACATAATTTAAGTGATTAAATAACAATTCAAAGCATAATTACATCAACTTTTGTCATTTAATAGTCGTAAAATATCCTTTCTACTAGCTTTTAGAGGAATGTATTGCTCATACTTGACTACCATCGGGTTTTTAAAGGCTTGGGCCAAATACAATCGACCTTCAATAACTTTCTTATTTTTAAATCTACCATTGTTATCCTTTATATGAATATAATTATCTGTTCATGTACACAATGCATTTAGAGATCGTAGTGAAAAAGCAAAATAACTAACAATTTAGGCATTGAATATAAAATAACTTGTATTGCATGTAACATAACAATCGAGTTCAAATTCAATATCAAATTTGACAGCTTTGCAAATCATTCCATAAAAATACGAAGGGACTCACCCTCACCTTGTTTCACACTTTTCAGACCCACAAATGTGGCTATGTGCATGTTGTTGATTGCAAATCGAGTCTATAATCTATCCACTAATGTGTAATATGAATCAATAAGGGAGAGAATAATATGGTAGCCAAAACTTGGCATATGATGGCTCCATTGTTTGTATATAAATTTACTTGTGTTTTATATATTTTTTGGATCAGTTGAATGATCATATTTCTCTAATGGCAACAATTTCCAATTTGTATGAAGAGGAGTTTCTATGATTCCTGAGACAAATTGGTGATCATTATCCTCTTCGCACATCTTGATTCTTTGAGTATGTTGGTGGGACTGTCTAAGTTGAAAATTTGACTCAAATGTTGACTCTTGATGTGAATGTTGAGGTTGGGAGTTCACTTGAATTGTGGGCTCTTATTTTGTATTCTCTTTAGTTGCATCCTTCACTGTCTTACTGGGTGGTTTTGATCTACATTCAAGCAAAATTTATGACTTGTGTTCGAGTTGACACTTTATCTTATGTTCAAATTTTTTAGTTTCAGTGCATGCTTTATTATTCAATGCAGGTGACTGTGGAGTTTGAGCTCAGACCGACATAGCTATGTCCTCCAATTAGTAACTCAATTTGTGTGATTAAAGTTATTTTGTGAGAACCTTCAATTCAATGCATAGGATTTGGAGGTCGAATTGATACTATCTTTGGATCAACTCCAAATCCTAGGTTGTTTTTTTGTTGAATTTGTATGAACTTAGCATCATTTTGTTAATACAAGTTCTTATTATCTTCGTGATTTTTTGTTGTCTTCGTCCATATATTTCTTAAAGTTGTTGACAATTGTAGTGAAATCCATCTTGTTGTTTGAATTTGTGATTATTTGATTTCAAGTTAAAACCATGAAAAAAATGAGATTGTATGGATAATTTTACCAAGTCCCATGGCAGACATTAAATATTCTTACCAAATTATAGAGATCATTGTGTGAGATCAAACTATAGAAATCGGCTTTCAAGTTATGTCAAGCTAGATGAAAGCAATGTCCTTAAAAAAGAACATGAACTCACCTACAAAACACTTTGATGTTTAAGTCAAGTTTTTAAATAAAAAAATTTCGTGATTAGAGAATAAATAATATGATTAAATTTACTCCTTACTAAGTATCCTTATATAGACCATAAAATAATAATAATAATAATAATAATTCAAAAAGGTAATGATTACTATTATAAAATGATAATATATTATAAATAAATAATAAAATTAAAAATAATGTGTAAATATATAAATAAATATTACATTTATAATATTTAATGAGTATTGCGGGATAAATACTTTAACTTTTTTACTATCATTACAAATTCTATTTTACATATTACATTATCAATTATAATTTTAAAACTATATTCTATTAATAGATAACTTCATCAACTATAACGATTGCTCTTATTGATAATTTGAATAATTAGATAAATGAATCAAATTGGAGAAATGGATCAGCGTGAGCACATAATCGTTTCACAAACTTGCACAATTTTTGGAACGTGCGTACATTTTTTTTTTTCACAACGATTATATTTCAACATTTTTTTCTTTTGTTGGTGAATGTGATCCATTATTGAATAAAAATTCAACTTATTATTAAGTTATGTGTAACAATGTGTCATGATTTTCAAAAATTTTTCAAAGCTCATAATTTTATGATGGTTTACAGCTTCATAAATTGTGAGAATGTTTTTAGTGGATGAGTATTATATATATATATATATATATATATATATATATATATATATATATATATATATATATATATATAAAAGGATTCAATGTAAAAATCAAAATAAGTACGAAAATAATAATAATAGAATGATTCTTTTACTTCAATATTTTAAATCTAGATGTGTTTTTATATTTATTTAATAAAATTAACAAATAAGGTATAATTAATCTTGATATTAGGAATTCAATTTAACTCTTACATTTTTATAATTATTTGTATATTGCAAAGAAAATCAATAAATAGAAATCACGTTTGAGAAGTAAATATCTAAAAATTATAAATTCTAATAATTGGTTTTCAATGGTATGGTATTTGTAAACCGTAAATATATATATATATATATATATATATATATATATATATATATATATATATATATATATATATTATATTTATATTATTTTAAAAATAAAATATATTATTTTAATATAAGTTTATGTTCAAAATTACTTAAAACAGGTCAAAGTAAATGAATTATCATTTATCCTGGCAGAATAACTCGTAATCATTGATGGTCAAATGAATATTGATCATGATTCTATTATACTTTCTTTCTAAATTTAAAATATTTGTCATGTGTACGTCCGTATGTAATACAGAAGGTGCAAATGAATGCAGATACAACAAAATTAAAATAAAATAAAAAATGTGATCATCGTTTACTATTCTACCGGTCCCATTTACATCCAATTCATAAAATCTTCCTATTGATACGTTTTTGCTCTGATAATTGGTTCTTGTGCTCACTAAACTTCATGGTTGAGAAAAATCAGGTTCAGATGGCTTGAACAATTTGGGCACAGGATCTGCTAGCTTATGGGTCCCTTTTCTTGTATTGGCAGCAAACTTTGAGGCCAAGACAGTTGCACCAAGATTCTGAATCTTTTTCACATTCCCTGAGGATTCTCCGATTTGAAGGTCCTCAAAATGTTCATTTCCATCCGTCTCAGGCAGGTAGTAGAGACCCTCTCTCAGGGATAACTCCCTTGTTGCCTTTCTTTTCTGAAATCGTCTCCAAGCAGCTTGTATGAAGCAAGCACCCCATGTCCTCCATTGATGGGAATAATACCTAAAGGCATGCTGAAGTTTCTTACTGTGAAGGCGCTTGAACTGACATGCCACAAATTTCAGATCCTCTGCTTGTAGTGAAAAAGCTTCAACTTCAGAAAGAGCTTTGACAGTACGAGTAGAAGAAGGAAGGTTGAGGGTTGAGTTTGGCATTAGGGCCCATGTCAGTAATTCCTCTCCGCAAAAGTCACCAGGCCGGAGTTTGATGCAATTGAAGAATCCAGACCTTCCTCCATTGGTCGTGGAGCTCTCCAATTGCCCTCTGATGATAAACAGCATTTCATCCACTGGATCACCCTCTCGAAATATGTAGGTCCCTTCAGTGCTTAGTGATGACGCAAGGCGTTCACAAATAGCATCAAGAAGTTGATCGTCCATTTGGGAGAAGAAGGGGACCTATACAGATATTAAGAAACCAAGTTTTGTATCATTAATAGTTGTGTAATGGTCTTCAATCTGTAGTGAAGTGAAATAGGTGAAGTTTCTCAACTCATAAATATCATGTTATCATGTAATTTGCTTTCTTAATTGCTTATTTTTAACAACTTAGTATTGCATTGCTGTATATTTGCAGTATCACATCAAGCAATGGGAGACAGAGACATACACGCCGCACAAGAGAAAGACACAAGTGATGTTGAATTGATCGACGAAGATCCAAAGGTAAAGATTGCAGTATCTCTTCTTCATTAACTCCTCTTGTTGCAAGCCATTTATATTGAACAAAACGGCGAACGCGTTCCTGCAAATGTGGTGGTAACTGGCGATGCCTCATCCACTCCTCAGTGTCTCTCTTCCGAATCCTCCATTCTTCTAGTCTAACTGTCATTGATGACAAGTACGTCTTTGAAAAAGGGAAAAAAACACACTCATCAACCAAAATCAGAATTTGTATTACTTCTATAAATTAATCTAATGAGTTAATTTGATGAATCAATATAGTTTCTCCTAGTCTTACCTCCATGTTTCCAATCAAAAGTGAAAAGAGAACCAATCCAAAAATGCATAAGAAGATGCAAAATAATGTCTCTGGAAGATATGTGGTGGTGTCCAAATTCTGTCCGTATGAGCTGCCAAAGGAAATTAACATATGATGGCAGGAAAACCTTTTTGTCCACTCTCTTGCCATTCCAATATAAATAAATGAATCTACATGTGTCCCTCGTGTATCTTAATTTTTCAAAAAAAAGGCTGCAGTTATAGGGCCATCAAAATTGAAACTATAGATCTAGTTTCCTACATTAAAAGACGTAAGTAATCATTCGTTGATGTTTTCATTATTACATTAAAAGAAGCATTTTCGATAGTGATTATTGCATGCTAACTTGAACAGATATATAAATATATTATAGTACAATCCTTAATTGCATGAAACTCAACAATTGTCACAACATGATACCTCAGGAACAGACTCAAAACAGTTAGTAACAGAGCCAAAATGGTAGGAATGAGACACATGAATATATATATATATATATATATATATATATATATAACGTAATGAAGATAACATACCTAAGATTTCTCAAACCCCACCAAAGACAATAGAAGTATCTTTCCTTAAATTTGGAAACGACAACATCATTCAGGAAAGCCTCTGCGAACATCCCAAATTTATATTTGATGTTGATTTTGCTCTTTGCGTCGCATCTGGTGATTACACGGGTGATGTTTAGCCAGTATTGCCTATCAGGGTGGTCCAGACTATTGCAATCAAGATAACTTGAAAAGCAAGAGAGGGTATGTGATTTGTTCTCCATATTGCACTGCGCTTTCCAGCAGTTAAACTGCCTCCCTATTGACGATAGATACCAAGTCGCTCCTGTAACCTATTCCAATAATAAGCCACGATAGTTAAAAATTCATTTGAGTTAAAGGAACATCAAAATTAAGGTGCATGCTAGCGGGTGCCACTTACATGGCTGGCTAACAAGTAGAGAACAAGATTGTATGCGGCTCCAATCCATGGAGTCTTGGCGATAACGCCAGTGGTTTTCTGAATACGCCGGTTCAAAGGAAAGATAAGAAACAACCTAGGAACATATTGAATAAGTACAAAAAGAGCAAGAGTGTTGTTGGCATGGTCAGTTCTTGCGTTGGTGCTCGCTGGAATCACCAACCAAATCACAATCTGCAAGCCAAAATATTAACATTTAGTACAAAGCTTTTCAATGCATATCATTTTATCTAGAATTTTGAAAGTGAAACATCTGTCACTTGAATATTCATCTTGATCACCAATTAGTTGGCAATTCATATAACTTTAATATTGATTAAGACCTCCCATTAGCTAATGATGATTCTTACATCTATTAACTTTATTAAGTGTTATTGTTATAAAGTGCTTAATGAAAATTAAATACATATGGCAGACATTTTAAAAGTATTGAATTATATTGATGTGGTTGTTTAAATTTGTAATTATTATAGTATCCTAAGGTTATTTTTAAGTTTTTATAATATTTATAAATGTAACAAAGAATGTACGTGAAAAAAAAAATGTAGAAGTAATAAAATAAAAAACAATTCAGTCTTCAAATTTTCTTCCTCTTGTTCAACAAATATTTTGCACAATCTTAAGGAAATTAAGTTTCTTTGAGTGTTAGATCAACATCTCTTCTAAATTACCACTAACAAAGTGATACTAGAGCTGCAGTTAAAATAAAAATAAAAATTAGAGAGAGAGAGAGTAGAACAATGACCAATCATTCAACTCTTAATAGCAAAATTCATGATAATATCAAGTTCCTTTGTTTGAAGGAAAAAATACACATGAAAGAGGAAGAGACCACTACAATGAAAGATAAAATAGTCTGGAATCAATTAAATGGTGTAGAATATGCAAGAAGAACAATCATAAATAAAAAAAATTGTTAGAATAAAGAAAGTGTAGAAAAAAATTTGTCCTTTGCTTATTAACATCGAACATAAGAACACGTGGTATTTGAACTAACGGTTACAACAATCATAATCATATGACTAAAAATAAGTAAGCTCTTGTCAACATGGATTTATCATTTGCCTCAAAAATTAAATTAGGAAATGGAGAGTATGTGATAGTAGAATGAATAGACAATATTGGAGTTACAACAAAACAAGGAGGAAAGGTAATTCGTGTTACTTTTAAAGTGCCAAAATTAGATGTTTGATTTGAAAATCAGGATTCAAAAGGAAAAAAAAAAATTGTTACAGTGAAAATGACAAATAACATAAGTTTTGTGCTTTCACTTAATTACGAGAAAAAACTCAACTTGATGGCTAAAGAGAAAATGACTCTTATTTATGCCACAAGAGCTTTGAGCAATTAAATTAAAAAAAAAAAAAATGGTGTTTATGCTACCAAAAATTTAGAAGAAAAGTAGAGTATGTGAGAGATGTACATTGTCAACCATTCCCAAAGGAAGGAGTAAAGAGAGGTAGAGAAGCATTAGAATTGATAACATATATAAGGAGTCCAGTGAATACTCTTTCTTATTGGTCAATATAAATACTTTATTTTTTTTATCCATGATTTGCCTCATGACATGGGTCTATTTTCCTGAAAAATAATCTATGGATCTATTTCCTGAAAAAAAAATATGAAGTAGTTAATATATTTAAGAAATTTAATGCAATTATAAAGAAACAAAGTGATAGATTTATTAAAATTTTGAAAAGTGACTAGAAAAAAAGAGTATGTGTCATGCATTCAACAAATTTTGTGAAAATGAAGGAGTAAAAGAGACAATTGAACAAAATTATACATGTCACGGAAAAATCCAGGAGATGACAAAATGGATGTTATTTGAAAGTAAAATGTCCAATTAATTTTGGAAAGAAGCTATTAATAGAGCGCTGTACGTTGAATAGATATCCTAGAAAAGTGATTTGAAACATGGAGTGGAAGACATTTCCCTCGCAACGCTAGAATGGTGAATTAACATTTCTAAAAGGTGAATTGAAACTGAAGGGTTTGCGATAGATGGTCAAAAAGGGAAGGTTTATAAATTGAATTATATTTTGTATGGGATGAAGGAAGCTAGAAGAAAGTTGTACAACAACATTGCAAATGCGTTAGCATCCACGAAAGAATTTACAGGTAGTTTCTTCTACTTGGATAACCAATATTAACATTTAAGAGAACGAGGGTGAAATAAGAGTGGTTTTAAAGCAATGCAGAAAGTAAAATGAATAGTTCATAATTTTTTAGAATAATTCACGAAGAATGGGTTTTCTTTCTTTTGGATTTTCATGTGAATTTTGTGAAAGCAGAGAGAAGTGTGTTTGTTTGCGTGCCTGGGGGAGAGGGATGGTGGCAGCGAGGTCAATGACGAAGTCAGACTTGAGGTAGCGCATGGCGATTTCGTGGGAGTCCATGACGAGGTCGCCGCGGCCGAAGATTCTAGAGTTGGGGGCGACGAAGGCGGTGCGGAACTTCATGAGCATGTGGAGGACGTAGAAGAGGTCAGCGAAGGAGCGGAGGATGGTGACGATGATACTGAGTTTGGGGTCGGCCTCCAAGCAGGCGGGGCCACCCACGGTGGGGAGGAAGAAGTATAGAGGGTCGATGAAGAGGGCGAGTAGGCTTGTCACGAGGAACACCCTGTTCCAATACGTCACGATGTCGCTGTCGGGGTCCAGTATCTGGTGCCGCCATAGGATCTGAAAAGCGTGCTCCTCCTCTGTCGCTGTTGTTAACTTGGGTCGGGATCGGAGTCGCCGGAACTGGCGGAACGTAGACGCCGGCGTGGATATTATTCTATACATCTTCCATGGCGGATTCCGAAGGTGACGGATTCCGCGGGTGGGTCAGAGAGCGGGTTGGCTTCACGGCGAAGGAGGAGAAGAACAATCACGAGCAAACCACCGGAGTTTGGATGGTATGCTCTCTCAGACAAGACAAATGCTCCTCCTTTGCCTCCACTTGCACCCATTTTTGAACCTGCATAGACTTTCCCGCTAAATTGAAGGGAATGCGTCAATTTAGGGGGAACCAAACTCCACCAGACACTTCCCTTCAATCCCATCTTTGGACATTCCACCAAAATTATATTGTTTATCCTTATCCCTTTTTGTTCGCCTTTTTGGGCCTTCAATCTAAACTCATGCATGCAAAAGATTCGGCCCAAAATATACATTAAGATATTTTAATAATATAAAATTGTTAGATTAGTGAATCCAATCTTCGTACAAAATTTGTGGTTTATTATAATGTACAACGCAATAAATTGAGTGTGAAATAAAAATGTAGTACGGGCTAACATTAGAGTTTAATTAGTGGAGGAGAATTGGCCCAAAATGTTGGAGAGCATTGTGCGAACTTAGTTGTACACGTACTCCAAGGATAGTGTTTTTGTTTTATAGTGTTACATTATAATGAGAAAAACTTTTAATTTTTTTTTCTTTGTACATGAAGATTTTAAATTTGTATAAATCACGTTAACGGAATTTGAATTGATTGATTTTAGATAGTTATATACTTTTTTTTTACTAAGTAATTTGAATTATTTAATTATTTACTAAATTGTAAATTGTTTTTAATTTTTTTTACAAAGTTATATCCTATGGCTTAATTTCGTAGTTAAATTATTATATTTGTTCGAGTCTAAATTCTAAACTAACTTTATGAAAACTCAGTGTAATAATTATCTTTTCTTTAGGTGTTGCGTTACTAATTAATGATTTTTTTTATCTGAATAAAAAATGTAATTGAAGGATAAAATATTAGAATCATCGAATGTGGAAGGTCGCGTCTAGTAACGTGATTTCTCCTAATCAAATATAAACCACGTCTTTATGTATGTATTTACAAAAGTTTTTATATTTTATCATAGCAACATTTAAAAATATTTTTTCCTTTATTAATATAATAGGTTAAATAGTAATTCTTTTGAATCATAACAATAAGGAAAATATTTCCTAAATTAATAATATTAATTTAAATTTTATTTTTCTTTCTATTCTAAGTATATATCAAATTAGATTGAATTTATTTGAAGTTTTATTTATTTTTTAATTAGGTTGGATTTTTCATTTTAAGGAAGAAAAACTTACCTAATATAAATTTAATTTAGTTGGACATTTTATAGAAAAAGTTCTTATATGATTAAGTTGAAGTTTTTATTTTCTAGCTATTGTTAAAGAGATTGAAGCCTTATTTTATAAGTTCCAATTGGTTAATTATATTTTTTTTATAATAGACTTTGATTATATTTATTTAAATTTTATTTATCAAATTTTGAACTGATTAACATTTCTCTATACTTGATTTTTTTTCTAGATACTCATTCCTTTAATTTATAAAATATATTGTTGTGAAGACTTGTACATATAGAATAGTGAATGGAAAAGATTGAGTTAAAAATATACACTAAAATATTTATACAAACGAATTCATAATCATATAAAAAATGTGTTTATAACTCTTTAAAAGATGGAAATTTACAAAAATAATATTCCAATATTTTTTTTAAGAGTCATAATAATATATTTTATCTATGAAAATGTATTAAGCTAAAACTGTCAAAATATGATGAAAAGTATAACTTTTACATTATAAAAAAGAAGATTCCCAAATACATTATACATAATTCAGAATATATTTAATATCAGATATTATCTTTAGTCCACATCTTAAAAGGAATCATTTGAAACTAGTAAAAAAAGTAGGGTGTTTATGATTTTTATTTTTTCAATATTTTATGATGTTTTTATTATTAAATTATTAAATAGTTTTTTTTTAAATTGAAAAATATTTTCTTATAAAAAGAATCTAAACATTTTATAATAATTTTTTATAGAAAAATATATATTATAAAAAATTATATGGTTCTAATAATAAGTTTAATAGTTTACAATTAAAATTTCCAAAATACAAAATTGTTACTGTATTTTTAATAAATATATTATAAATAAAATATAACAAAACTTTAGATATAATCCTCAGTCAATGTATATTTATTAATTGAGAATTAACTTTAAACATATAATTCGGGTCTGTTTTTAATTTTTAATTAAAACTAAATGGATCGATTTTGAAAAAAAAAAAATCTAATAAAACTTCAGTTATTTTGACTGATTTTTTATTTTTTGAAGATGGTGAATCCAAAGTGTTTGACAAGTTAAGAACTAAATCACTGAATAGATAAATAGAAAAAGGAATAAAAAAGTTGAAGCAAAATTGCGTTTTAAGAGAAAATACAAAGTGAAATGGATTGAATATGATAGGAGGTAAGTGAGGGAGGTTAAGCAAAGATATTCCAAAAACTGGAGACCCATTGGGCATTAAAGGGCCCTGTAATGATATTAGACATGTGGTGGTCACCTACATAGAAAGTAACCCTTCAAAGAGTCCCATTTGTGATTGCATTGTACACAAGTTCTCAGCCTTTTAGTGCCACTCAACCACTTGTCCAAATTCTCTCCACACTCAGATAGAGTGAATGCCTTATAATTTTCAAATTCTGTAACTTATCTTCACTTTATATGATATCCTACTCTGATTTTTGTTCATCTTATCTCCTTATTTATCTTATTAAAGGTCCCTTTTTGAACACTCACCAAGCACTACTTAGCCTCGCCAATCACATTTATTTATCTGGGGGAAAAGTGAGCAATTACGTTATACTTCGATTACTTTCATTTTTATAATGTTAAGTGCGATGGGAAGTTTGATGATTTTGCTTGAGAAAAGCAACAACGTTGTCTTGTATTTATTTGAACCTTAAGACTAAGGAAGATGGATTCCATGGGACCAGAGTGGTCAGGTATTGCGAATTATGAGGCAGAACCAAACAAACGTTGGAAACAAAGACACAAAGGGCTTGTGTTGTGGTTGTGGCATGCCACGGGGTCCGTCTAACGTAGCTTTCTTCACAATTTGGTTGTTCTTGAGGCTCCTTAGTGCAGATCCTCGAGACAAAACCAGTGACGTTAATGCGTTTTATTGGCGGGAAGAAAACGTTGATATTATTATTATTATTATTATTTTGGCTTTATGAAGTTCTTTTATTAGAATAAATTACTCATTTTTTTAGTCATGATAATATTCATCTGGAATATATTTAATTATTGGTAATCAACTTTTCATTCTTCATATGTTTTTTTTATTTATTTACAAATGTGAGATTTTTGTTAGATAATTTTTTTTACATTAGTAAATTAGTTTTTCTATTTGAATTTATGTGTATTATTATTAGATAATGTTTTTATACATTGAATTAAAGTATTATTAAATGTAATTAGTAATTAATTTGTTTAGATTAATAAATTTTAACTTTTAATGTTTTTACTTAAACAACATACATATTGGGAAGGAGAATCCTTAATTAGGGTTATGTATTTAAAATTTAGGGTAATAACCCAAAATAAATAAAAATATATGAAAAATAACAACTCAAAAGAATAGACTAAAAAAATATCGCTTGTAAACTACTTTATTTCTTAAATATAAAGTATTAAACAAGAAGTTACCCACTTATTTAGTGGTGACACAACTTGTACATAAAGGCTTGAATCTCCTAGTATTCAAATAAACTCTTTCTCTTAGATTGTCCAATACTATAAATCTTTTTTCGAATTGAGGTAGCTTTTGAGGTTATAAAGTATTTATCTAAAAATATTTTCTTCAAGTTATCTCGATGAAACTTTGAGGTAAGTAGTATAACTAGTCTTTTGCTCCTATATGTAATAAAAATATAAATTCCTTTAGCTTTATGTGATCCTCACTAATATATTGAGGTTTCATGATTGAACAAATTCCTTAAGGTGTTTGTGTGGATCTTCACCTATAAGACCACAAAATATAGGCAACAAATGTATTAAATTTTTCTTAAGAATAATAGACACATCATCATTATCCTTAACTTGAATGCAAATATTATGATATGAAACATGATGCAAGTATCTCTCTAAGTGTTCTTTCACTCATATTATTTTGATTCATTTTTTTAAGATTGGATAAGGAACCTACTTGACTTTCTTTTTGTTGTTTTTTAATTATGCATTTTTTTCAATCACTACATCAAATACAAATTATTTAGAACTATTGGATTGTAGTATTCAAATACCAATCAAAAGAGAAAATATAAAACAAAAATTATACAGAGAAACAAAAATTACCGGACCATTTTCACTGAGTGAATCCTAATTTGCTAAGTGAGATACTAAAAGAATGTAAAATATGATAAGAGCGTTTTACAAACTGTTAGGTGAAAATATTTCAGTAATCAAACAATGAAAAAAAAATTAATCGAACAAGTCCTTGCTGAGAAAAAATAACAAACAAAATAATAATTCAAACAATTGGAACAAATTTGCTCAGTGAAACGTACAATCACTAAGTGAAAAACTTATGAAAATGAAAATTAGAGGTACTAGAATAAAAATGTTCAACAAATAACGAATCCAGTAAACAAAATAAAAAGACAAAATAAACAAAGTCAACAATGGAAGATTTTTACTAAACGAAATTGATTTCTCCTAAGAAAAATGAGACAATGTTGAAAAATAAGTACAAAATAAAAACTTGATCAACAAATAAACAAATGGTTGAGTGAAATTTTTGCTAAAACAAAATATTTTGAAGTTTTTCTAGTTTGCATAAGCTAAACACAATAAAATAAAGCAAACAATAAAACAAATATTTATACTAACCTTTAACCACTAAAAATTGAAGTTTAAAATAACATAAATACCAATTATCCTATGTAATGATGTCATTTTGATCAATGTGCATCTTGTTGTCTAGATTTGATCAAATATGCATAAGCAAGGAAATCTAGAAAATAAAATTTATGTTTTTTGGTTTCTAAAGTCTATTTATACAACATCGAACACGTTTAAGACGTGCATTATCCATTCAAAACACATAATTATCCAATTGCATCAAATAGAACTTGAATCACACTTTTGTAGAATTAAAGCAAATTCAATTAAGTGATTCATTGCTTTGCTCAACATATTTTATGTTAAGTTAGTTGTCTAGTCTTCGATATTTTTGCTTAACGAATGATTTTCTCGTTAAACAGTTTTGTAATATTAGGAATGATGCATTTAGATGTAATTCATTGAGTGGAATTCTTTCTAGAGGACTTCATTAATCAATTCTTCTATTTTTTTTAATTTATCATTCTTGTAAAAATAACAAAATAATTAGTTAACATGTACAAATTGAGTAATAATTTAGTACAAATAAATATATATATATATATATATATACATATATATTATCAAAATTATATTAATAATTAATAAAAAAAATGAACTAATTATATTAATAAAAATATTGAAAAAAAATATTCTTCAACGTATTAGAATATAGTCCCCTAGTTGAGAACTAAAGAGTTGAAGAGAACCAAGAATTTAGTCTCGATCCCAAGGTGGACACCAAATGTTCTTACTAAAAAATTACAATAATGAATGAACTTGACAATATCTGTCAATGAGCATGAACAGGTCAATTTAGATGATTGTCATTTGCAATCTATTGGGCAACTTTATCGAAAGCTAAAAAAAAAAGAGAGAAAGTTTCACCTGTAAAGAAACTTTGATACTTATGTTAAAATAAGAAAATGAGAATAAAGATAGTAGAAAAGTTTGTAAATGAGTTGATATTGAGAGAGTGAAGTGGTCTTATCTATAGGTCTTTTATCAAAATATTTTAGGTAGTAAATTATACCTCTTTTAATGTCATTTAATGTCTTAATAATGTAATTCTCTTGTTTATAACCGAGTCATTAAGTAAATTTATTTTTTACATTATTATTGTTTTAATATATTTTTAAAAGTATTAAATAAGAGAATATTTTGTAATGTCATATGATTAATGCAGAAATTTGGGTAGTAACTATTTTTACTGATTTATACTTTATTTGAACTACCAATTTATAAAGTATCATGTAGGGTGATGTGAGCTAAATTTAAAGCTATAGCTAAGATGTGCTCGATTTAAAGATATGACTAAGGTGATATCAAGTTTGTGAGATATACTATTGGTATGGAATAATGATGTGCAAAGAAATTGTTATGGCGTAATGATGTGCTTGGATATCAATTGTTGTCACCTAATGATATACTCAAATAATTGTTATGCTGAGCTCTACTAGTTTTGTCCTTTCTCATTATTTTTTGCTAGGAGAAAAACTTGTTATGACGAGCTCGACAAGCTTCTCTCTTTCACACTAGCTCTTTGCTAGATGAAAAATTACAAAAGACATATTATTTTAAAATAGTTACCTTCATTGTAATATGTCTTTAGATGTGTTACTCAAGTGTATCTTATTCATCAAGTAATGTATAATGAATAAAACGATTTAATGATCCAACTTAGATAAGATCTTCTATTACTTCTCGTACTCTTTTATAATTTTGGTGTCACATGCATTGCTTATTCCGGTCTACATTTGCAGGTGTAATAGTAGGTTCTAGTAGTTTAGCCAATTCCAGGTTACATGCTTCTTGAAAAGTTGTCTCAATACTAGGGTTCAAAGGCATGAATCTCCTCTCTTTATGTCTATCATCACGTTTGTATCTTTTGTTTGGACCATATTTGTGGGTTGAACTCTCCCTTTTTTTGTCTTTTCTTTTTATGATTTCAATGTTTTCTTCCAGTTGTATGAACTTTGAAGCTTGAGTTTTGAGCTAGTTTAATGTATTTTTGGATAGTACATGTATAGACTATCTAGAAATGACCATTTTTTCAACCCTACTATCATAGCATGGATAGTTAGGTAAGGGAATAAATCGTGAACGATTATACATACCTTAGTAAATTGCTATATGCATTTTCTTAGGGACTCGTCTCTTTCATGTCTTAATCCTTTTAGAGCGAGCGAAGTAGGTTGGTGTGGTTGACTAGTTGCAAAAATAATTCAAATTTTTTTAGTTGTTTTTTTATTTTATGAATTTATTGATTCGTGAGATAGATCATAAAATCATTTTAATGTCAATCCTTTCAACATCATATGAAAAATCTTGCAATGAATCATTGTTTTCTTCAAATATGTTAATATGTCTCAGGTAAGCTTGGATATGATTATATGGGTTAGTGCCTTCTTTGAATTTCTCCATATTAAGAGTTTTCCATCCTGAGGGCCAGAGTTCCTCCAATATATAAGGGCAAGAGTTCCTCCAATATATCAAGGGTAAAAAGGCTTTCGATATTTAACTTTAGTCCTATTTATAAGCTTTCATTTCTTCTTTGTGCTTTTCTTCAATCTGTGCTAACTTTGTGTGATTTTTACTTTATAATTAGGCAATGTCTACATGAATGTTTGCTTCACATTTCTATTATATATTTTCTATATAAAATTTCATGTTGTTGATGATCGGATTAAAAATACATGTCAATACATGATGAAACAGACTTGATTATGCTTTTGAATCATTAAAAATGTGACCTAAGATTAGTTCATTTGGTCTCACAGTGGATGTTAAATGTTTTTGCCGAAAAATTATAATAATTAATGAACTTGACAAAGTCGGTCAATGAGTTCGAACAAGTCTCTATACGATCTGTCACCTTAAGATCTATTAGGTTAAATTTTATTGAATATTAAAAAAAATAGATTTATCTATAAAAATACGATGATATTTAAGTTAATATAAGAAAAAAATGAGAATAAAAACAAAGAATATAATAATTTGTTTATAAATCTTTTATTATAATATTTTAGATAATAAATTATATTTATTAGTTTAATATCTAATATGAAATTCTCTAATTAATGTTAGAAAATATTTTTTAATTAATATCATATAATTAATTAAAATTATACTTATTAATTTAATATAAAATAATATTATTCTTTTAATAAATATTTTTATTTAATATAATCTCAAACATTTTCTTAAAAAAAATTGTGTTAACATTTGAATAAGAATATAATATTATTTTGGAAATTTAAGCTTAATTTAATGAGTTAAACTTATTAAATTAAATAAAAAATTTATTTGACTAGAAACTAGTATTAAAATTATTATAAAATTAGCTACTGATTATTATTAATATATAATTAATAATATTATTAAATGCTACACTCAATATTAACATGTAATTATGAATTTTTTTAAAGATAATACGTGCTCAAATAAGTGTCAACATTTTTTTAGATAACTTTATTAAAATAATATAATTTTATATTTCTAAATTTAATTTTAATTAAAAAGAACTAAGCTTTATAATTAATTAAGAAATTGATTTTGAAATAATAGATATAAATAGTTTAGAGGCATATTTTAGGACAAGAAACGCTATTATAAAAAAATTTCACTTATTTATATTAAATGTTACACTCAATTGTCTTTTCAAATTAATAAAATGAATTGAATTTTTTATTATAATAAATGGAAAGTAATTACACCAGCTACGTGATGATAAATTTAGTCAAGCTATGACAAAGCGTGTAAAATGTGTTTAATGAGAATGAATATGAAAATAAGGATTTATTCATAAATTTTAATTGGTCAAAGGGAGATCATAATAATCATCTCATTCCATTTAAATATTTTTTCTCATATATATATATATATATAATTTAAATAAGAAATTATTTAAATAATTTCTATATATATATATATATATATATATATATATATATTATCTAAACACAATAAATTCTAATAGTGATTTAAAAACAATATTAAATGTATTTTAATTTAAGTAACTTAAAATTTAGTTATTGAGTAATATATTTTTCAACATAACAATAAATATTCATAATTTGATTTGAATAAGATATTTTAATACATTTATTAAAGTTATATTTAGTTATTATTATTATTATTATTATTATTATTATTATTATTATTCCACATAACTAACAGAGCTTAATTCTATATATTATACTATATGCTAATAATTAAATAATTTCATTAATTTTATTTTATGCATTAAATTATAAAAAATTAAAATGATATTTAATTTTATATTATAAATTAGAATACTTAAACTTTTAAATTCATAATTTTCTTATTTTCTCAAATAAATATATAAATATTCTACTTTTCTCTAGAGATTCATTTCACACACTTTTCAAAGTAAGCTAGGAAAGATTGTCTTAATAAACTACAAATAAAATAAATATTCCTCGTGCACTATACACAACTATAAACTACTATTTATATTTAATATTTAATATTTAATATACTATATATTTTTATATTGTCAAAATATTAAAATTACAAACAAGTTTTATTTATTCAAATGGTATTAGATTCTATCCTCTTTGTTAAATAAGTTAGTTAAAAGAATAGATTCAATCAAATATAGTCATATAAAGATTAGTCATTAGAAAATGGATTAATTATTACTTTATACTAATAATATAATTTAAAATGAAAATAAAAAATTGAAATAATTTAAGTCCCTTATGCAGAGGTAATTGAAAGTTCGTAGCAGGTATGCGTTAACAGCTGTTAAACTGAAACGTCCCCATAATTAGGACAGTGAGGGAAAGAGATAGAGATGGATGGAGGTGTCTCTTTCTGTTGAAACGTGGTCAGCGCTATTGTCAGGTCACTCAAGAGTTCCAATGTGTGCTTGCTTAGATGCAACCCTCTCTCTCTGTTACCCTGTTCTGCTTCAAATGCAACACCATCTTTCCCTTACACACACTCATACGAATAATATTATACCAAAACTTCCATTATCACATTCCAAAAATATTATATTATATTCCCTCAAAATCAAACTACAACATAACACAAAACAAAAGAGCATGTAGAAGAGGAAACCAAAAACTAGAACCAAAACCAGCACTCACTCACAGCATATAATAACTCCCCTTTTGCTTCTCTTCTCTCTCATTCGAATAATCTGATTCATTCTGACGACAACACTTCACCCTTCACCCTTCCTCGTCACACCACTATTTTCTAAATTGGCTGGTGGTGGTGGTGCTTTTTGTTTTTGTGTTTGTTTGTTTGTGTGTTTGTTTGTTCTTCTTTTGACCGTATTCGAGCCTCTTTCCTCAAAACATTCTTTTTATATGCATATCTGGGAAGAGAAAACAAAGTATTATCCTTAGACTGGACTAGCTTGAACTGGGGGAGGGTGGTAATTCATGAGGGTGGTATTCATTTTCCTTTGACCATCTTAACAAAATTTAAAATTTGAAGGCTGCTTTGTTGTTCTGATACATTCCCTGATGGATCTGGAGTCTGTGATCTATAAAAACTCAATTAAGGTATGGCATGTGAGAGTATCCTTCTGAGTATTATATTGAAAAAGAAAAAAAAAATATACTTGTTTTTAACTTAACCCTCATCACACCTTGCAGGATGGATCATGGAAGACAGTGTTAACATTGGCTTACCAGAGCTTGGGTGTTGTGTATGGCGATTTAAGCACATCACCACTTTATGTTTACAAAAGCACTTTTGCTGAGGACATTCAGCATTCAGAGACCAATGAAGAGATATATGGGGTGTTATCTTTTGTCTTCTGGACTCTCACACTGGTTCCACTTCTCAAGTATGTCTTCATTGTGCTCAGAGCAGATGACAATGGAGAAGGAGGGACTTTTGCTCTGTACTCTCTGCTATGCAGGCATGCTCAGGTGGGGTTGTTGCCGAATGTTCAGCTTGCAGATGAGGAGCTAACTGAGTACACCAAGGATGGAACAGTGCCAATTGATAAGAAGAAAGTTGGGTTGGGGTTGAAATCGGTGTTGGAGAAACACAAGGTGCTGCAGAGGGTGCTGCTTGTTCTGGCTTTAATAGGGGCTTGCATGGTTATTGGGGATGGTGTGCTTACACCTGCTATTTCTGGTACTGGGATTTGCATTCTTATCTGCGTTTTGGTCATGACCAAGGTTTTAAACTGCGGTCCTGGTTTCTTCGCAATCTTTCATATTGCGGGAAATTGTGGACAATGCAACCCGCAATCGGGTAGATTCCAGAGACCATGATGTTGCGGTTAAAATCACGGTTTTGACCATTTTTAAAGCGTTAATCATGACATGCAGTGTTCGTGGTTCACGATGACTGAATTATTTGGTTTTTGGTTGTTATGCAGTTTTCTCTGCCGTGTCAGGTTTGGAGCTTTCTATGTCTAAAGAACAGCATAGATGTAAGTTCCTTTCTGAAATCAAATAATTGGTCTTCTTATTCTGTTTTTCTCATGTTTTGTTCTAGATAAATTGTAAGTCTAGTTTGTGGTGAGCCTTTAATGAACATGAGAGAGCAGCAAGCAACCGGTCATGAATTCAATTGCAGAAAATATATGTTAATTTTAATAAGCTGCAAGATGGTTTGAAGTTTAGTTTCAAATACTATATCTATATAACAATTGTAGACACATGTATAATTGTATATTGGATTGGAATTGGATTGATCGATTCAGAATTCAATTTTGATTAGTAAATTGAAAAAATGCTTGGCATCTGAAACTATTCTCTGGAATTTGTTCACAAGAATTGTGAAACTGGACATTAAGAATAGTTCTAATGGTTGCAACATACAAAATTGCTGTTGACTTGGGCAAGGGATTTTTTCTCTCTGAATGGTATATATGCTTAATAGATATTGATCATAAAATTATTGTTGTTAGGTATCACAATATACTTATTTTAAATTTTTCAACAAAACCCATTTCAACTTTTAAATACCTTCCCTTTATGCTAACTATAGAAAAGCGTTTAAGTTAGTGGACAAAAAGGGAGAACCAAATGCCTCCAAGTGCATGCATTATTGTGGGTCCCCATAAATATGTAATCAGGGCCAACTTCCTTGTTTTGATCAAAGTCAAATCATTGTCATGCTAAAATTTATATTAGAATAAATAATTCTTGCCAACTTGATAATATTGAACATATAATAAAGCTTGTGGTTGTGGCTGATGGAATATCAAGCACAGAAGAACTGAGAACAGTAGTTTCTTTGTAAGTTAAGCTTTCATTAGAATATGATATGAGCTTAGGTGTTAAAGAGCATTGTGATATGGATAAGGTTTTTAAATAAATAATGATGGATCAATCTGGAACATAAATTGATTGTCTGATTGGATGCCAAAATTAGGTATGGACACTATTAACCTTGTCATAAACAGTCCACTATGAATAAGTAATGATTATTCAGAGTACTCTTCAACTTAATTGAAACTTAATTCTATTATACTATAATCACTGTAGTAATCATCTTAAACACTAATGGTATGTGTCTTCTTTAACAATATGACCTCTAACCTTGAGCTGCTTATTTTCCATTGGATGATTTATGGCCAGTTGTATACAGCATTCCTTTCCATGATTATTCAACCTTGTCTAGATGCATTCAAAGCATACTGTAGTTTATACTTTCTTGCTGTATTAGTAACTTTTCAGCACACAGAAATTAGAATATATTGACTTTATGACTTTTGCTCTACTTCTTCAGTTTCTTAAAATTCGGATTCCAATACAAATTTAACTTGTAAAACTCTTACCTTTTACATGAACATTACTGACTGTGTAAATCATGTGGGCTTTAATTGTAACAATATTAGACTCTTTATAATCCTATAGAGTCATGTATTGTTCATTCTAATATTTGTTTGTTGTTTTTAGATACGACAATCTATTGTTAAACTTATAACTCGATTTCTTATGATATATTTAAACATAATTCTGCATTTCCTGAAATATAATTGATTGTGCAGATGTTGAAGTCCCTGTTGCTTGTGTGATACTGATATTTTTGTTTGCGCTTCAACATTATGGAACACATCGCTTGGGGTTTCTATTTGCTCCTGTTGTGATGACCTGGCTCCTATGCATCAGTTGTATCGGAATGTATAATATCTTACATTGGAACCCTCATGTCTATGAGGCTCTCTCTCCATACTACATGTTCAAATTTCTGAAGAAGACTCAAAGGGGAGGTTGGATGTCCTTAGGGGGCATTCTACTGTGTATAACAGGTATGAGTAAGTGTATTTCAACTGCTGTATGCTTGACTTATGTTTTATCTTCCTCTGATGTTCTATCTCTTATGTTTCAGGTTCTGAAGCTATGTTTGCTGATCTAGGACACTTTTCCCAGTTGTCAATTAAGGTGCACAATTGAACCTTTGAGGGGAATATTCTTTGGAGTTTTGGTATTCAAAATTATGAGGAAATATTTGATGGGAAATGATGTTTGTCTAATACAAAATAGGTTGATAAAGTAAATTTGTAACTCAGTTATTTGCTAACTGTTTTAAACAACTACTATTATAATCAGAATTTATACTATTTGAAGTTCATAGCATCCTTTTTAAATTGAAACCAAACTTTTGATTTACATTTCCAATTTTGATTTGAAAGCAATGCATCATGAAGAAATCATGAAATTCTTTTCGTTCTAAAATAATTTGTACATATCGAGTTCCCTCAAATATTACTTTTCACTTTCCTAGTTAAACATAGTCAAGTCTTAAGGTCAAAAGTTAGTGCTACATCATTCAAAATGGGAAAAGTAGATTTCAAGTGTGTCAAAAAACGTACTAAATTTAACATGGTTGAGTGATTTAGATGGCTTGTTTCTCCATAAATTCTCAGATTTACTTGTCTTCATGCAATTTATTGGTAGTGTTATTCAGTACCTCTTATTTGTGAGGAAAACGACTTTCGTATCTTTGTTCATTGATCTCATAATTATAAATATTCTATTGTCTCATTTGTGTAGTCTCTAATTGAAGAGAACAAATCAATTTATAATTTGTCAGTATTATTATTAGGAAAACAAATTAATGTAATTTAGGAGATAAAATAATTCATTATTTCGAATGCTTGGCCTTATCATAATATTTCTGCTACTTTTCCAAATGCTCCATTTTATAGAGTAGGGAAATCCTCTCGTTTATGGGCTAGTAATGCCACTGTACTGCTTTTTTATTGTTCATGAATAAATGAATATGAAGCTTTGGGGGATGTTTCTTGATTAGAAAGTGCACGGAAATACTCAACTGCATTAACAGAAAACCACTTATCTGCAGATTGCTTTTACCTTTTTGGTGTACCCTTCTCTAATCCTGGCATATATGGGACAAGCTGCATATCTATCCAAGCACCATATTATTGAAAGTGATTACCGAATTGGGTTCTACGTATCTGTACCTGGTAATATCTATGTTTCTCGCAAGGGCCACATGTTTAAAGAATGATTAAGCTTTGGCTGTTTGGCTTTACACTTCCTTTTGAATTTGTTTTAGAGAAAATTAGATGGCCTGTTCTTGCAATAGCCATACTTCAAGCCGTGGTTGGAAGTCAAGCTATCATCACAGGTACTTTCTCAATAATCAAACAATGTTCTGCCATGGGATGCTTCCCCAAAGTCAAGATCATTCATACATCATCAAAGGTACACGGCCAGATTTATATCCCAGAGATCAACTGGTGTTTGATGCTACTTTGCCTGGCTATTACTGTTGGATTCAGAGATACAAAACGCATGGGAAATGCAGCAGGTATGCCTTCTTCTGATGCAAAATGAAAATTTATGTAAAACTTATGTCTGAATCATCTCTGTAGCAGCATTACCTATTATGTTTCTCTAAACTAATTTTCTTTTCTCCTTACTCCTTTTCCTCTTTAGGTAGTTAAATTGAGTGGCCAGTTGTAGTTCAATTTTTTCTTCACTACTTGACGGAATGAGGCAGTATGATGTACTTTGGTCTGAAAACATCAGATCTAGTCAAAGACCATAGAATTATTAGTTTGGTCCATTTGCAATTTTCAACAGTTTCTAAATTAATATCATATGATGTTATTCTGATTTTTAAAAGACAGCATCTTAAAATCACACAAACCCTGGATGGCTTATACTTTTTCTAATGAACTTTTATACTCTTTGGATGAACAGGTTTGGCTGTCATAACTGTCATGCTGGTCACCACTTGCTTAATGTCTCTAGTTATAGTGTTATGCTGGCATAAGAGTGTTTTCCTAGCCATTTGCTTCATATTCTTCTTTGGGTCCATTGAAGCACTATACTTCTCTGCATCCCTGATCAAGTTCCTTGAAGGGGCTTGGGTGCCCATTGCCCTCTCGCTCATATTTCTTATTGTCATGTATGTGTGGCACTATGGCACACTTAAAAAGTATGAGTTTGATGTTCAAAATAAGGTGTCCATCAACTGGCTCCTTGGTTTAGGCCCCACTCTAGGAATTGTGCGGGTCAGGGGAATTGGCCTAATACACACTGAGCTTGTGTCTGGGATCCCAGCTATTTTCTCTCACTTTGTTACCAATCTCCCAGCTTTTCATCAGGTTGTGATCTTCCTTTGTGTCAAATCTGTCCCGGTGCCACATGTCAGACCTGGGGAAAGGTTCTTAGTTGGTAGAGTTGGCCCAAAGGAATATAGGTTGTATAGGTGCATAGCGCGGTATGGCTATCGTGATTTTCACAAGGATGACATTGAGTTTGAGAAAGATCTTATTTGTAGCGTAGCAGAATTCATACGGTCGGAGACCTCTGAATCCGGCATAGGATTTGAGAGTTTTGAAGATGACAGAAAGATGACAGTTGTTGGCACCTCAGCATCAAACTCAGAAGGTATAAGGATGTGTGAAGATGATCAAGACAACAATAATTTTCAAGTAGAAGACACCTTAGAATTGAGGGTGGTTAAGTCTCCTGAAATAGTGAGGAAGCGAGTGAGGTTTGTTGTGCCAGACAGTCCACGGATTGATTTGGGTGCAAGGGAGGAGTTGCAGGAACTAATGCAAGCAAGGGAGGGAGGAATGGCATTCATAATGGGTCACTCATATGTGAAAGCAAAGAGAGGATCAAGCTGGATAAAGAAAGTTGTGATCAATTATGGATATGATTTCTTGAGGAGAAACTCTAGAGGACCAACTTATGCTCTAAGTATCCCTCATGCATCCATCCTTGAAGTTGGCATGGTCTATCATGTCTGAATTTTGGCTGCAAGTTATGTAGTTTAGCTTTCTTATGTGGTTAAGTAAATCATTGCCGGCCTTGTGTATAGTGCCCCTCCATGCTACCAATCTCTACATTTCACCTTTTTTCTTATTGCTCTTGGTACATTATCCCATTATCCAAGCTCTCATCCAAGTGTCCTAAGTATCCTACCCTGAACTTGAAATGAAGATCAAGCGAGCAATGGATATTTTTGTGGCAGTTTTTTTCTTTTCAACAGAAAACTTTATGATAAATAGAAAGGTTAGTTTGCTTGTGGATTGTGTAAGTAGCAGCCCGTAGAACTTTGTAAAAGATGTGCTGCTTTAGTTCCTCAATGTATATGTTTTATGCTGGTGAAAATTGACACAGGATCCCTGCTTGCAATTTTGTTTATCATGCTTGATGATAAAGGGGAAAAAAAAAAACAGAAAGATAGCAACCCTGCAACACAGTTTTGCCACAAGAAAGTGTTGTACACCGAACTATCTTTACGAAGTAACTAGATGGTAAAATGATTCAGCTTGTTCTATTTTATTTTATCCCTATGCTAGAAATGGAACAGAATGATTCACCATAATTAGAATAAATTATAAATATCAGTATGTCCCGTCAAAGGACGGATTAACGAATTAATCCGTCAATTATTTTTTTATATAATTTATATATATATATATAATATATCTTTAATCATATCAATAATTTTTAAATTTTTATTAATTAATTAATATTTTTATTAGATAAATTTAAAAATTATTATATTTATATTTTAAAATAAATAAATTCTTCTTATATTATTCTTAATTAGTTAAATTGATGGACTAAAATTATTAATTTGTTTCAGTATTTTTTAGATGGATTAGTAAGTGGATACGGAACTAATATGTTGTTTTGTTATGAAAGGTTAATTTAAGTAATTGGAGTTAAAGCTAATTATCTAAAAAATTAAATGGATGTTTTTTTTGTTAACTACTCATTTGCTTCTTTTAACTAAAACACGATTTTTTTAGTTACTATACTTAAGAAATTATAGTCTGCACATGTATTATCCGTACACATATTATTTGAATATCTTTTAATTCTTAACGCGATGGCCATGCTCAAATATTATAGGTGTATTTGACACAATACGTATTGGAAAAATTGATAGCATGAGATGAAGCTCTAAAAACTTTTGGCCCCTAACTGAATAAAACATAACTTCATTTTTTTTTTCCCAAAATGTATACATACTTTACAACGGCTTAAAATTTATTATGATAGAAAGAGATTTATGAAACAATTTAAAAAATATTCTGAAATATTCTTTTTATAAAAAATCCACATTGCACTATAATTTATAAACACTCAATAAGATTTGGTATAAGAGACAACAAGTCTATCAAACTTACTCAAGATATTCTTCTACAAATTTTCACAAAGTATTATATATATGCTTGAGTTATACCAAATTTAAGACGAAACATTATTGCATACAAATAAATTTTCGAATTGTCTTGAGGTAGAAACCTTTTAAATGTTACATAAAAAGGACAAAAACTTTACAAAAACAATCACTCTCCACAATATTTTTGGATTTGGATGGACTAAAGGCTTTTAGACTCTAATTTATAGTCTTTTCAACCCTTAGGCTGGAGACTTGGAGGTTGCATATTGTTTGATTAATGGGGTCAAAACTCACTGATTGACCTATAAATTAATATTCTTGATATCACATAACAAAATAATTTACATTGAATGCATTAGGCTTAAGTCTCTTATAATTTGTTGTTAGAACAAATTTTAAATAATTAGAAAAAAAAAAAATATATATATATATATAGTTAAATATAATAAGATATTTTCTAACGAGAGTCATCATAGTTAAAAAATAATTATGTATTATATTTTTTAACAGAAGAGGAAGCATTGTAAAACTTTCTTTTCACAATGTTTTTTTATACTTTTAAATTATATATTCTGGAGTTTTTTTTAATATTTTTTATAATACCTATATGCATTTTCGAATTACTTTTTTCTTCTACTTCATTATAAATGGAAACAAATATAATGAATAGATTATTATTTTGGTAAAGGAAGGAAAGATTTTGTGGGATGCTCTAAACTAAGGCCTAAAATATTTCAATGCTTCTTTTTTCACCCCCAATAATTTCTTCTACGCTCTCTTCGAGATCAGTTTTTTTAGGATGATAAAACGGTCTGACGGGCGACAGACCATAATATGGCGGGACAGTTTAGTATTTTTAGCCCATCAGCCCGTTTTGGTCCGTCATGCCAAGCACACCAACCTGTCAAACCAACTCACAGGGGGCGGGGTGGGCCAGCCCGCGACCCACTTTACTACTAATTTTTTTATTGTGATACAATACAAAAAGTCAGAAAGACAATATATAATATAAAGATTTATGAAAAGAGAATTCTAAAAGTTTCAGTGTATCATAAAGAGAATTCATAAAATCTTAATATTTCACTGCTAAGAGAATTCAAAAAATTTTATAATTACTTAATATCGCATTACCAGAAACACTTTCTTTTCTCAAGCACAAACTCTCATCTCTCTCCTCTCCTCTTAGTCATCATGTCCTTCTTGTTCATCCTTCTTCATAAGGTAAAAATCATATATATCTCATACTTTTCAATATAAAAAATAAAGATTTAATAAATTTTTACTATTACATACATGTATTTATTATTATATAAATTTTATCTTAATTTAATTGTTCTAAAATTTAATTTATTAAAATAATATATCAATTTATATTATTAACTTGAAATATATATATATATGTATATATATATATATATATATATATAAATTAGTTGACAATGATAATTTTATTATTATATTTATTGAAAAATTTGATTTAAAAATAATAAAATAATAAGAAATATGACAGATCAACTCTGTCAACCCGCCCTTTGGTGGGACGGGCCAAAATGGGGCGGGTTGACTCGTATTATCATCCCTAAGTTTTCCACTTTTTTGTTGCACTTCCATGTCAGTTGTAATTCACCTCTGTTCAAGCATCAATTTCATTTTAAGGTTAGAAATTTGTTATTTTAAGATTAGAAATTTGTTGGTATTTTATGCTTTGAATAATATAACATGTTGTGCATCTAAAAACATCATAAAAAAACGCATTTCATTTAAATTGTTGGTGTCTGAATGGTTGAATCCAGAATATATTTCTAAAAAACATAATCTAGAAATACGTTTTGGATAAACTAATCTATTACTCATTTATAAATTGTGTTTTCTAAGAATAAGTTCCGAATTAGCCTATTTTAAACTCATTTCTAGATTGTATTTTCTGAAAATACATTTTAGATTTAACAATCCAAAACTTATTTTCAGATTTATTTTCTAGAAACATACTCCAAATTCAAAAATCTAAAACTTATTTTCAGATTGTGTTTTCTAGACTCAACCATCCATAACACATTTATATATTTACCATGACTCATTTTTGGATTAAGTTTTTTATAATAAAATTTACCTTTCTACATTCCAAAATTAGTTTCCAAAATATTTATAGAAAACATAAAAAAGGTGAATCCGAAAATTGTTGAGAATGAGCTTTCCACGAGCTATTTACATTAGGAACCATATTGTCATTTTAGATAAATATGGGATTGTAGGAACATAATGGATTTTTAATAAGATTTGAGTTTTTTTTTAATTTCAAGTATAATTAATTGTTATTTTTAATAAATGTTTCACATAAATCATTGTTTGGTATTTTCAAACACATAGTGATATTAGACAAGAAAATCATTATAGTAAAAGAAAATTATCCACTTGTTAATTTCTTTTATGCTTTCATAGGGTAGGGTAAAAGATTTCCATAAATTGAAGTGTTACATTTTTATTTATTTTCATTATAATATTTTATTATTTCTAATATTATCCTTGTTTAAGAATATGTTGTTAGAAAAAGAGGAGTTAGTTATTTTTTAGTAAGTTAGTATAAAGCTAAGTCTATAAACTTAACCTACTTGATCAGGCTATGTAAAACTATGTAATTACATTGATATAAACAAAGAATCATTTACGTTTACATTTTCTTGTGGGTTAATATCTAATATTAGAGTTAGGTGCATGCAAAAGTACCGTAGTCCATGACATCAACCACAAATTCAAATAATAATTTTGTGCAACTTATGATTCTAAAATTAGATGAGAACTATTTAAAATATGAAAAATGTAGAAATAGGAAAAATATTTCCACCCATAACTAATGTCATAAATCCAAAAAAGTGTATATGGTTTCAAACTCTCACTCTCTCACACTTTTCAAGTTTTATTAAATCACGTTTATGACCAATAATTTATAATACAAATTTAGTTACATATTTTTAAGTCTTATAATTATAGAATTTTAGTTTTCATCAACAAACTAAAATACAAAAAAACTCATAATACTTAAAGAATATCTAATTTATATAATTAAAATAAAAATGACGAAAATTTAATTATTTTGTAGAAGATAAAGTGAAATTATATCATGTTATGAAGTATAATATGTGTGTTTTATGATGGTTATATTAATTATCAAGGTAAAAAGCATGTGATCAATTTAAATTAGAAGATCTTATAAAAGTTTTGTTTGTTATAAATTATTGTAAAGACAATTGGTAAAGGATATTTGAAGGTATGCTGTAACTAAATATTAAACTAACACCCTCTGTGTTCCACGGTGTTTCTGTTACGCTAAAACAAGTATTATATTGATTCATTATTTCATAAAAAACAACACTTTCAACCTTATGCTGAAAAGTGAAAAAGAGGAAGATATAAACATATCTCATTCTCTCTCCTTTCTCTATCAAAGATGTCACTCTCATTGAACACGAGAAGCAGCATTGATGATGACATGAAAGATATTATGTTCTTTAAGAGAGGTTGTTTCTCCAACATGATGTCATCCATGTTAGGCTTTGTTTGGTTGGAGTGATTTGAGGGAGTGGAAATGAGAGAGTGGAAAAGGAGGGATTTGAA